AAAAAAAGATCCTGTCTACAGAAAATAGTATTAAAGGAAGGCCTTAACGTTATTCTGTCCTAGCCATAGACAAAGTCACTTGGTTAGACTAGAATTTTCAGTTTATAAACTCTCCTTAGGAAGAAGAGGATTTGTGGTCTCAGGCCCTGACAAAGGATAGTCTGATTCAGGGCACAAGTCTCTCAGGAATGTAAGAAGAGGGGTCAGGGGCCAGAGATAAGCTGACTACCTCTCTGGCCACAGCTACATATAAGAGGCTTTGCCATGAGGTCCTGGAGGCACTTAGCTCCTTCCTGTGCCTGACCTGCCTTGTGGGTTGTGTTTCTCTTCCTGAGGAAGAGACCTGCATCTGGATGTCAGCATTCTTGTGTCTTATCAAGGAGAAAACAAGAAAAGAAAGAAAATTCAGTACTTAAATGGCGGACAAGGAAGCCTGATCCGGAATCCCTTGACAGTCCCTTTCTCCAAATCAGGGTGGAAAGAATATGTCTGGGGCCTCCCTAGGTGCTCAGACATGGCGGCCCAAGCTTACACCAATCTGCCAGAGGCTGTTTCACCTTGCCTGATTCTACTGTCGTTTGAAATGTACGTTCCATCTAACCCGGCCCGAAAAGTAGAAATCGAATCTTTCCTGGTGGACGTCTGGTCCCCCCAAAGTGACCCAGTGCTGGTCCAGTCCTCTGTCCTGTAACACATGACAGCTAGCACAAGAAGGGGGGTGAGATGGCGACAGGTCAGGCAGGGTGGCCCTCTGGCACCGCCTGAGAGCTCTTCGGGCCACAGCATCCCCTTGGAGACCAGCAAGACCTTCCTGAGGGCCTGATAGCATTTGTCTCCCTGCACACAGGGCCGGTCCCGTGAGTCTGCGGGCTCCTGGGGGACATCACGTACTCTCCAGGTTTACATGTGATCACCGGCATCACCTTTTCCTACGGCCCTTCTCACTCCTCTCCACTGTCACCCGCCAACGTGACACGCGAGGAGGTAGGAAGAGGGTAGGCGTTCAGCCACAGTGGCCGTCACTGCAATAGGCCAGCAGCATCAGTGTCTTTCTTTGGGTGTAGGCATCGGAAGGCCAGAATGCCCTGCCATACCTCAAATCTGCTGAATCTACTGCATTCTAACAAGAGCCTCGTGTTAGCAAGACCTGGAGGCGCATGCAAGTCTGGGAAGTGCTACTCTGAGACGGTGGCTCCGGATGTTGCCTGCAAACCACAGTAACTGGAAAGCTTTGAAAACTATCGATGCCAAGGACCCACCACCAGAGACAGCGGTGTCATTGGTCTGGGGTGGACCCGAGGATCAGTGTTTCTCAAATGCCCCCAGTGATTTAGCAACACTGATTTTACAATGTGGCGAGGAGATTAAGGACCGTTGCTAGAGAGTTCCTCGCATGGTCGATGGGTCCTCACTGGTATTTTCTTGACCGCTTGGTGCTTGGCTGGTAACTCCTAAGCAGACTGCGCTGTGTCTCAGGATTTCAGAACCGGGGATTCTGATTAATTCCGGCCTCGGTTAGCCTGACCTCCTCCATCACTCTAGCTTTGGAAGAATTGTTTCACCTCTGTCGATTTGCCCGCAGCTGTGTGATTGTTGCTTTTCAAGGGCCTTCGGCTGGGGAAACTGGTCATTGATGCATAAAACTGAGGGAGAGGATGGGAACGCCCGCGTAGAAAAGGTGACTGGGTTCTGAGGAGGGAGAATGACGTTAACGGCAATGGTCATGGGTTCTATGTGCCAGGCCCTGCTCTAGTCACTTGACACTTCTCCCATCAGTTACGGTTTTCCGGGATGTTAGGAGGAGGCTACTAGGATTGTTTCTGTGACGCACAAGGAAAACGGGAACACTACTGTGAAGGCACTATTCAGTGCCTTGCCCGGTGTCACAGGCCTACCAGGAGTAGGACCAAGGTAGGAACCCGGGCAGTCTGGCACAGAGCTTTTCCCCTAACCACCACCTCCCCCTGCGTCACCGAAGCACTCCTTAGAGTTTTGCTCTCATCCAAGGAAGCTCAGGTGTGAACAGGTGACAAAATCGAGGGAGCCCCGGATTCGGACCGAGGAGGTGGCTGCCTTCGTCTCTCCCTGGATCCAGAACAGAAGGTTCGGAGAGGAACCCAGAGGTAGAAGAACCACACGGTTGATCGTCCAAGCCTCGACAAGGCTAAGCTACATGCACACTGGCGTGGCAGGCATTGACCAGGACTGTCCGAGGCAAACTGGCGTGAGGTCCCGTCACTGAGTCGTTGAAGGGTACTGACACAGCTTACTTACGTGGCCCGTTTGTGGCTTGGTGGGGGACGTAGCCTAGTTTCCTGATTTCTAGCCCAGGGCTCTACCCCCCGCTTTGCACCGCCTGCCATAACGTGCATCTCTTTTCAACAGCTCCCCAGCCAGGATTCCATAGCGTCACTGTCTCTACTCTTTAAACTCTCCGTCCAGTGCTTTAATCTCCAACCATCAGAGTCACTCCTTGACCACTATATCCAGAATCCTTGTGCACAAAATCCCATTAAATGCCTAGACAGAAGAACCCTCAGATATCTTTTGTCTGCATTGATTCATCCATGGGATAAGCTAATGGAAAGGGGAGATTCAAAGATGGAGAAGACATACCCTAACCCGTATAGAACTCAGGGTCTAGGGTAAAAACAAATCTCTGTGCAGACCAGAGAAGGCTTCCTGGAAGGGGTGAGTTGATATGATTCAGTGGGTGAGAGACAGGCAAAGACTGGGGAATGTGAGAGACTGAAGCCCAGGATGGTGAGGAACAGCATCAATGTGTAAAGAAAACAAGCAATTTGGGGGTGCTGGGGCACACATTTAGAAAAAGCAGAGGAGAAGCCAAGGCAGGGATTGGTTCGCAGAGACCCTCACGTGTCATCCCAAGAACTTGGATTTTCATCTGTAAATTGGGGAAGGCTTAAAGTGTTTTAAGGAGACTAAGACGTGAGAAAGTGTGTTCACATAGATAGTTCTGTTTACTTTTAGGCAATTTAAAAGTGTTCACTGCCATTGGAATGTTAAGTGATCTAATTTCTCCCTCTCTTTTAAATTTTTAAAAATGTTTATTTATTTATTTTTTTAAAAGAGAGAGAGAGAGAGCGCGAGCAAGCCAGGGAGGGGCAGAGAAACAGGGAGAGAGAAATCCCAAGTAGGCTCCGTGCTGTCA